TTTTATGGCATCCTAATCCTCCTATACTATGCATAACTGAGCATATGGAATCTTAGATCATTTTTTTTTACCTTCTGTCTCTAAAAAATACAGAGGAAAGAAAGTTAGTTGTATTTCATTATTTTGTATATTTAGCAGATCTGTTTTCTTGGCTGTGTTTCTGAAAACCTTTTCTATGAGGACTTATCTAGCAGCTGTGTTGACAATTCTATTTTTTGAGTGCAACTTCAAGAGCAAGATGACTTCTTCACACCTGTGCCTCTAGAGCTTATTTTTTGGAAAGAATTGGGCTTTGCATTAATTTTGCAGAAAATATCATACAGTAGGGGAAGAAAAAAAAAAAAAAAAAGGCTCTCCTTTCTAGTGTAGAGTAAAAAAGAAGATCAGTTTGTTATGTGTGGATAAAAATTTTCCATGAAGGCTTCAAACACATCATGAAAAAAAACAGGTACAAAGGACATTTTCATGCTGTCATGCATACCATCATTGAATTGGCCTTTGAGAGTTTTACTGGGACAAATTCATAGCTCAATTTCAATCACAGTGTTGCCTCAACACTATGAAATTAAGGTTTCATGGGCTTTTAAAACAGCCATGTCCACCTGGAGTAAACACTGAAGACCTAGAGTAAGAACGTTCTCTTCACATAAGTAGTTTGTATTTGTACACATAGTTTTAGTGAAAAAGTAACATGTTCAGATTTCCCCCCAGGGTACATGTAGATACATCTTGGAGTGGAGGTGACCTGACTCTCAATATCCAGGATATGCTCTGTATTCTAAAGTAGTACATCGGAAATTTGTGTGGAGCTGGATCTCCTCTTCAGTGAAGATAGGATCTTGCCACTCCCACACAGAGAATGACAGCTTCTGAAATTCTTCAAGGCCTTTTCGTGCAAACAGGGGCTAATTCCACAGAAGTCTTCCTCATGTAGAAATCAACAGAAATATAAGAGTCACTCCAGCAGCAATAATTGTATTGGACATCTAAGAATCTCACTGATTATTGCCTCAGCCTGTGAAACCTTCTTGCTAGAAATCTATTATGTGAAAGCTGCAAATCTAAGGAGCACATAGATTTAACGGTGAATCTATGAGTCAGCTTCTTTTTTGTGAATTTGACTTATAAAACATTTTGACATTTCCCAAAGCTTTATTGTCAAGTCAGATGAAAAATGCTTTTGTCTATGTAGTCCCCTTTATACCCGTGACATCAATGAGAGTTTTTTGATAACACCTGAAAATAAATCAGTGTATCTTTCAAAGTTACGTCATTTATCATGTTTACAAACTGAAATAAGTCAAAAAACATGAAAAAAAAATGCACAAAACTTCCCATTACAATCTCATTTTCACTCCTATGTACTATACACTATCTTTTTTTTACATTTATAATCACGCTTTTCCACCATGTCCTTTAATTGTTTGGAACTCAAGATGATGACTGCTTTGCAAATGATGTAGCAATTCAGTGTTTGGTTTTGTCCTTATTGTTTAAAGGTTCCACAGCTCCTTTTCTGCACAACATAAAACTGTCTCAGCAACGTGGGGCATTCAGTTCCTGGTGGAATTAATGCCGGTTGCTGCTCCACTTTGCATTGACATTTTTATTATGATGTGGCATGAATAATTATTTTTAATCCATTTGTTACACAAGTAGTTGGAAACAAAGGTCAAAAATCATTTGTCTTCCACATTTTGGGCACAAATGTAGGAAAAGAATTTGCAAAAAAAAATCAGTGGAACTTAATATTAATTAACTCCTATTTAGAATAACTTGAGGCAGGGAGCAGGGATAAAAGCTATAATCATTGTAAACTTGATCAGTAGATGCACTACAAAGTCTTCATTTAAGTTGAGATCTGTGTAGCTACATGGAATGTGTTTGGTGGAGGGGGTTATCCAAGAGGGTAAATGGATTTTCAGTCTGTTTGCCAAGCAAGTATAATATTTAAATATATTTATATATTTAAATGTTTTATTTCTTTCCACAAAAGCTGAAGAGAAGCAAAAGAATTCCCTGATGATTCAAACGTTCCATTTAAGTAAAACAAAAGGCTTCTCTTCGGTGCTTATGCAAATGAATTGAACGAATTTCTTCCCAAAATTTAATGGAAAAGATAAGCTTTTAACAAACAGTTTAGAGGCCCAAACACTTACCAGTACATAACAACTCAGACTCAAGCTCTTCTCAGCTGGAGATCACTTTAACTGGGAAGGTATTAATCACCATGTCAAGAAGGAGGAAGCCAGACTTTGTTCAACATTTTATATGTATATTAAATAGTTTCTAATTCAGCAACAAATACTCACTTGCTACTCTTTCTAAAATAACAAATTGAAGACTTTTTTCATCAATCATGAAACACACTAGTTATGTGTTTTTTATAGTCTAGGACATCTGAAAATGGATGGATATTGTGAGACCATATCAAACACCCTATTATTCTAGGCCTTGAAATTGAGATATTTTGTTTTGTGCCTATCATGCTTGACAAGAGGTGTTATGTTTCTAAGGGATTTCTAAAGCCACTGGCTTAGAAAACATTCTGACCTGGGCTTTCTTTGGAGCTCTTCCACTTTGTACAAAATTAATTACATATGTACTGAGAACACACAATGATTCTCCCATGTGATGAGTAGGAGATTTGTTGAAGTGGTAAAAATATCTGTGTTTAAATGTGAGATCCAATTAGAGCTCTTGGGAGACCAAGTATTCCTTTACCTTGTAGGACTGTGATGCTGCCGGAAGCCTCAGTCATTGATGTCAGAGGCAGTATTCAAAGGGAGGACACGAGTCTGAGTTTCCCACAGCAATTTTCCCCATAATATAAATGTTATAACATCATTGCCTTATGTAAATTCTTGTCACACTATCTGAGGTATGAACTCAATTGGTATTTGCAAAAAAAATGGAGGGATGAATAAGAACCACTTTTTTTTTTTTTTTTTTTTAAACAAATTTATAACTTTCTGGAAAATAAGTTAGATGTGCTCCTGTGTTAATCACAAGATGTCTTTTGCTCTTTTACCATGATTTCTGCACTTAAAACCAGCTTAATACCAGCTTGCTCTGTTTTTTCTCATTTGCATCTTTGAGTTTGTGTTGAATAATTTTCCTGTGGGTTGAAGAAACACTGAAGAAGTTTGCATTGTGGGGGAGTCTGTCATGCTTGATATGTGGTAAACTAACTCTCTGCTGTGGCCACAAAGAAATCCAGAAGAAGCGAGATACATGTAATACCCTTCTCATCCTGTCTTGGGATGAATAGTTTGTATCTTAAGATCTGCCAAATTTTCTCCACGTAGTAAATGTATGGACCTTGCCTAATTTTAGATTTGTATGGTGTAACTACAAACAGCTTATTGTATGTAGTGGGCAGGTAACACATTGAGTTCTCTATTTTGGGACTGCTAAAGCAAAGACTTCCATCCACTAGGTGAGGCCAGATGATACCATTACAGTTCCCATTCACAAAAAAATTTCCCCTCAGGAGTACTAGCAAGGACTGTGAGATAACTAAACTGTTAAAACTAACAAGTCCATGGAGATTGAACAGGCTCATGGTGTGGAATAAAGAAAAGAAGTCTCTCATCAACCTCCTCCTCCCCAGACATTTACCTTCCTCCCTCATCTCACTGGCCTAGACCCAAGACTAACACTGCATTTACTGTGACACTGTATTGGTACCTAAAAGTTCGGTCTAATTTGAAAGCATCTTGAATTGTGATACCAGCATGGCATTGCTATGTGGCTCCTCACTGAGAAGTGTTCTTGAGAGCTTGTGGTCTCTTAACTTTGCTGTTGGTCCTGCTTTGCTTCGTCCTAGGCCTAACATCTCTGTCTGTATACTTCTGACAAAATACCACGCATCTCTACAGTACTCATAAAAAGCACTGCAATAAATCCTTTCAAACTCTAACTTCAGATTTTACTATCAAGCTCTTCAGAATGGAATATTTTTCTTTCTCCCGGAGTAGAGGCTGAATTCACCTTGAAGGAGTTTTCTTTGCTTCCCTCAATCAGTTCTCCGCAGATGCTCATTTGCAGGAGAGAATTTATGGCTTTGTCCTCTGTTCTCCTCTCCTAGGGTGGCACAAATTACCTGGGTCAAGGACTGCCTGCTTTTCCTTCCTCTCATCCCTCTTTATCTTCCACACAGGAACATGCTTCCCTCTTTCTCTTATGGATGATGGGCTCCTCCTCGTTCTGACTCTTCAGCTCTAGCATTTATGTGAACAACAGATAATAATTAATGAAAATGAAAGTGTTTATGGGCCCCACTCCAAACCTGACATTACGGAGAGCAAAACTGCCGACGAGTATCTTTTTTGACTTCTCACTAGCGGGCTCTTTGTAATTTAGGGGCTCGGAGTGCCTGGATCTTGGATGAAGAGGAAGTTTTCACAGTTGTGGGTGGTTTTCCTTCCTTCCTTCCTCCAGCAGACAGCGATCCACGCCAGGATTTCCTTCCCTCTCCCGTATTTCAGCTATGCAATGTGTAGCACGTTTCGGTATGTGTGTGTGTGCGTGCGATGTGTGTGCGTGTGTGTCTCCCTGGCTGTAGCTGCCTCCAGGATTGCTCCCTGCCTGCTCCGGGAGCCCGCTCCGGCGCTGTGCGGAGCGGAGGTTTCCCCGGCTCCCGTCAATACAGGCACTCGCACCACACGCATGCACACACACACACACGCGCGCACGCACAGAGCCGCTGTCCAGTCCATCCCCACGCCGCCTACTGCCTCCACCACCTCCAGCCTCGCAGCGGCGGCGGGCACAGCTCCTCGGCGGATCGCGCCGCCGCTTACCCTGCGCTCTGCAGGCAGCCTTCTCAATCTCCACAACCTAGAGACAGATTCTCCTTTTTTTTTTTTTTTTTCTTTTTTCCTTTTTTTTAAAAATTATTATTATTATTATTATTATTATTCTGCTGGGGGACGATAGCATTTTGCCGAGGAGGCGCGGGGACGAGGCTGCCGCTCTCCCTCTCCTGCTGTGCGCGCATGTGTGCGTGTGCGCGCCCACCTCCCCCCCGCCTCGCAAAAGTTTGCTTGGGCGGTCGGGGGGCTCCCGGCCCGCCGCCTCCGCAGTCGGGGAGCACGGAGGCGGCGTGGAGCGGAAGCGCGGGACTTGCGCGCCGCGCCATGCCGGCTGCGCGGGGGGCTGCGCACTGGGCCCTGGCGGGGCTGCTGCTGCTGCTGCTGCTACCGCCGCCCGCGACCGCGGGGACTGAGAGCAAAGCGCGGAGCTGCGGCGAGGTGCGGCAGGCGTACAGCGCCAAAGGCTTCAGCCTGGCCAGCGTGCCCTACCAGGAGATCGCAGGTACGGCGCGGGGCGCGGCGCGGGTGAGCGGCGGTGCGCACCGCCCGCGGCTGCGGGGTTTGGGCTGCGCGCTCGCGTGCGCGGCGCGGAGCGGCTCTGTCGGCCGGCTGGCGGTACCCGGTGATCGGCGGTATGTGTGGTGATAAAGGAATACATAAAGGCTGAAAAAAAAAAAAAAAAAAAAAAAAAAAAAAAAAAAAAAAGCTAAGGGACTGGGACTAGAAAGAAAAAGAAACACAAAAATTAAAAATATCATAAGAGGGCGCGGGCGATGCCTCAGAGGTGGTTTTGTTCGCCTGCAGAAACTTCTTGAGAGTTGCATGCGGGTTGCTGGATGCTGAGAGCTGTTCCGCAGGGGTTCTCGCCGTGCGCTGGGGGAGATAACTTTGCTCTCTGCCCGCGGGGTCGGGAAGGGTGGAAGGGGGAGGAGAGAAAGGGGGTGTAGAATCGCCCGGGCCGGGCACGGCCCCTTGGGGCGCTCCGCCGTCTCCCCAAAAGAGAGAAGCTGCAGCAGCTGCTGGGAGGGACTCGCGCACGCAGCCCCGCGCCGCCGCCCCCCGGCAGCCCGGCGCTTGGCTCTGCCTGCCGCCGAAACGTGCCCACAACAGGTTATCCCTCCGTCTGTCTGCTAAAGGGCTGGGGTTGGCTTTGGCGGTGATTTTATTTTCCAGCTTTTCCCTGCGACCTTATCCGTATCGCATCTTTGAGAGTGAATGAATAAAAAACGTGTCCCGGGCGGATAATTGCTTAGCAATCACAGAGCGTGAAAGAAAGAGAGAAATAATATGGGGAAAGGCGTGAGCGTGAGCTGCTCAAATTGGGCTGCTCGAGCCCTGAAGACAGATTTCTGCTTTCCTGCTGCCGCTTTGCTGTGAGGTTCTGCTGTCTGTGCAGTGAATGAGGAGCCCCTTGGTTTGCTCACTCCCTTGTAAAGTTGGAAGCAGGAGATTTTTCTGGAGGTGAAATAAAGCCACAGTTCCCCACTGCACAGCATTTAGCACTTTTCAGGGGAGGAATGATGAATGTGGAGAATTTCAGGACAATGAGAGTGTAGCTCACAGAAGTGCTGGGAAGGCTGCTCCACGCTGCCAGTGCACCAATGCTGAGCTCATTTCTGCTCAGCACTGTGGGTCTGAACCACTGATATGCATTAGGATGAGACATAAGGACACAGGGCTGTGCCTATAACTGTCCCACAGGCTCCTTTGGCCCTCCCTATCACTGTTGGTCCTTCTGTACTCTGCTTTAAAATCCCCCCTTAAGTTTCTCATCTGTCACATACAATCTCTTTTTTTTTTTTCTGAAATTCCCCCTGTGGCCATAGACCCTTTGGCTACGCAGTCATTCTTTCTCTTTCCTTATTGTACCTCCATCTGTCTTGGGACAGTGGCAAGATATACCCTGTCCCCTTTAAAAACAGTAATGAAATCCACTGAATTTCCATGTTCGGGTAACTTTGAGCAGACACTTGTTGCTTTCAGCTTATATATTCTCTGAATGTAGAGTACAAAGTTGCTGTTCAGTTTTAGAGGCTTCTCCTGGTTATCCGGTCGGCAACTTTCTTTAAACATGTATCGGTATGGAAAGACTCAGTTACATCCCAAACTGCTCCTCAGCTTCCCCTTGAGGTTTAGAAGTAACAAATACTTTTCAGTTAAGAAGTCTGTGGTTCACATAGATACAGTGGGAGGCTCGGAAAAAAATAACTCTCAAATTGTTTTCTTTGTGGCCATGTTGCTTGTTGGTGTACTGACCTATGAGCAGTTCACGTGTTGCTCTTTGGGCTGTTGGAAGGTCCAGGTGTATTTCAGAGTGCTGTTTTTGGGATGTGCTGAGAGGCTGTGCCACAACACTGCAGCATAGGCTCTTGCTAACGTGGGAGCCACCTATGTGCAACCGGGCACAATGTTGAAAATGTTTAATTAAAGCAACCAACACACGGATTTCAGAATAACTGTTTTCATTCTGTTCCTTTCCACCATCCTGGTATAATTAAGGAAGAAATTTGTTACAGCTATGAAACAAGCATGGTCTTTCAAATGCCTCATGCTTTAAAGTGTTTAAAGTGCTTCATTACATTCATATTTCTAAACAAATATGTTTTCAAAAGATTTTGCATCTCAATAATATGTTGGAAAATAGTAGCACGCAGCATGGTTAATGTGTTTTGCTTTAGCAGTATTCATATATTTCCATTTCCCATTTGCTTAAAAGCTCCTTTCTGGCCAGGGCTGTTGGAGGCCGACAAAGTGAGTGGTGTTGTAGTGCACTCATGCACAGAGCTCTACAGTCTGCTTGGATGGGAGACTGCAGGAACAGAGCTGCCCCTCTGCTGGGAGGAGCTGCGCACCAAGACTCATTTGATAGTTCTTTGTGAAGTATGGGCACTCGCTGCTAAGTTCTGAATGGAGAAGATTTAAGATATGGATTTTAAAGCCATAAGACAAGATTTTCCTGAAGCTTTTATTATTATTATTATTATTATTATTATTTAAATGAAGTGTGTGTTGAAGATGGGAATGCTGTGATTATGGCCATCCCCTATGCTTTCACAACAGTGCTAAATTTTTCAAAGGAGAGGTGTAGTGGCTGTTTGTTATAAGCCTTACTGCACCTAATGCCTTACCTCAGAGGAAAAGACTGGTGCTGGGGCTTGCCCTGAGTACAATTTGTTTTTTGGAGAAGCTGGCTTACAGCTTAAGTCATCAAAGTGAGTCCTCCATAAAAGCACTTTGCCTGGGAATGCTGGGGGAGAGGGAGGAAGGACTTGGTCCTGTGCAAAACCAGCACTGGTTAGAGGGTGGAAGGCAGTGGCTGTCCTTGTGTAATCCGTGCTGCTGTGGAGTGTCCTGCACTTAGAGAAGAGCTGAACTGTCATACTTACGTTACTGTGATCTGGCATTTAGGGGCTCTGAGTGGAGTTCCTGATGGCTTTACAAAAGTGTTTTGCTGTAGGAAAAGCTGTCACTTAAAAAGTTGATACAGAAGTGAAAAGCCACTTCATGTATTTGTTAGTAATACTTGAAATTTAGGCATGATTTCAATGACTCCAAGTATCTTATAGGAAGCCAGGAATCTAAACCAACAAAGGTAGATAGAGGTGGAGAGTGTCCTTGGCTCAAACTGTTCTGAGAGAATGTCTGGCTATTTCAGAGTAATGGATGTGTCCAAACTGTGGCCTTCCATGTTCAGCAGCACATTGTTTTTAGCAAAGGTTTTTATTTTTATGCCTATGTTTACCTAAAAATAGTGTTTAGGCAATGATGCATTAAAACATGTAAAATACATGCTAGAAAGGTGAAGAGCATGTTACAAAGGTTTGTTTCTGTTTTAGGAATAGATGTCAAATAATACCGTATTTAAAGAAACACTCTGGTAAAATGTCGAACTGTAAGATGCCGAATACTAAATACTCCTTAAGAAATTAGAGAGCTTTGTTCTCCTGTGCAGATGATGAACAAAGTGAGATTCTGGCAATGCAGAGACACTGTCGGGAAAGCAACTGAAGTAAAAGCAGAAGCAAACCCTTCATTTCAGAGGTTTGAAGGTCAGGAGTCACTTGAAATTGTGCTTTGATGAATGGGTTTCCTACTGGCATAATACAGAGGTGTTGACTGAAGAAAACTAGCAAACATAATGCAGTTGCTTGTAGCTCTAAAGTGATAATACAAGTAATGAAAATAAACTCAGTAGTCATTTATACAATTGGGCTATTATTCCATGTCAGATGTCCCAAGTAATGAATGTTTTGCTTTGCTTTAGAAAGCTCTAACATGTAATGATACATTAAGAGAACAACAGTGTGAAATTCTCCCAACCATGTCTGTATCACAGCATTTCTTAGTTAATGTTCTCTTTTACTGTTTCTCTGCTGATGTTGCTGAGTATTCTGCAAAGTACCTGTAGAGCAGAAGACAAATGGGAATTCGCAGACACCTTGTGTAGCGTCTCACCAGTGTAGAATAGGAATACCATTACTGAAATCAATAACATAATTGATGCCAACTTGTGACATCTGAATTGGGCCATAAGAGATCAGTCCATTCCCAAATTCAATGGTGAAATGAAGATGAACGTGGAACTTGGTGTAATCTGTGTGCTTTCCTTGTTTTAGCCCTGTTTCAGAAGTATCATCTACTTTTGTGATTCCTGCAGCGAGAGACTCTTCACTCTCCCTCATAGCCTCCCTCATTCTCTGGTTTTAAGTGCATTGGTGCACATGAATGAGTGCTTTTACATAGGAGGAAGTATAGCTTTTCTAAGACCTGGCTGTACTGTCACTTTTGCACATATTTATTGGTATGTATGTGACTGGTTTCATTAAAGAGAATGCAACCTATATACATGCATCTAAATCTAGAAGTACTCCTTGTATGCTCAGGGCCTTCAAGGAGAAATAGCATGTTTTTAGTGCTTATAAATAATTGATTCTGACTGAGAATTTTAAATCTCAGCATCTGGAGTCTCCTGATCTGATTTTATTGTAGAGTATTTTGGAAAAAGGAGTTTAAAACAGAAACAGCAGTGCTTCAATAATTAGTGTGACTATGAATTTCAGTGTGTTGTACTCTAATCTTTTTTTTTCTTTCTGTCAACAATCTGATTTATAATCAAAAAGCATACCTAAAGCTCTAATATTTTATATGCTTCTAAGTGTTAATATGTTAAACCGTTCTAATGTTCTATTAGTACTGATTTTATCATATGCTATTGTGAAATACTCCTGAGATTAGGTGGTGTTCAGACACCAGAGAGGTCAAGCACTATGTTAAAAGCTCAGGCCATTCTTTTTATATTACTGCAATAAAGAATATATTCATTTCATTTATATTACCACTTTGCTCTCATAAAAGGTCAGTTTCATCTGAATGTACAATTACTAGCAAATGGCAGATCTTATAACAAGCGATCAACAATAAAAGCTTTTCTGGGTAATTTGTCTTTAAAATTACCACCTGCCATTTGTTTGAATGACTTGAGGATCTTACAGCATCACTTGG